AGGCACCCATAATACGCTCGCGTGCTCGTCTTCCTCGTCGTCGCCGTCGTCATCCCCTCCTCCCCCCTTCCCGTAGCCACTTTGGTTCTAGATGATTGTGTCTTTCGGGCAGACAGCGGACACCTCCGATCTGAGGCTTGACCACGTTGATTTCTCCCCCCCTCGCGATGGTGCACCATTCACCCGTCGGGGAGGCTTTCGGGCGCGCTGTCATGGCGTGGTGCAAGCATGCGCCGTGGCACAATGATGGCAAGAGTTTCGAACATGAGTCCCAGATTAAAGCGTACAGCGTGGGCCGGGCTGTACTGGTTGGGAATACAAATCGTTCGGCAAGTTCTGCTGATCGAAGTGCGGGGGCGAGTACATTGATGCAAGTGGGCAGCGCGGACATGGTTCTGGCCGTCGCAGTAGTGCTCGTCTTGCTGCTCATGCAAGTGGTCGGTGATGATGCTCTTCACGCTGCCGCTGCTTTGCTGCTGCCGCGGGGCGCGACTTTTGATGTCATCTTGCTCTGTTCATGGATGACGCTCTTCCGCCCGAGGAACCATAATGGACCGCGTTCAGGCTGCAGGACGCAGCACGTGCCGAGCGCACCCGCTTCATTCGTGTCGTCGAAGATGCAGCGAAAGTGGCGCGCTTGGCCTCTCAAGAAACACATCATCGGACATCAAAAAGGTACAGAAGATCGAGGAACAGTTGGTGAAGGGCAACGAGCGCTTGGTTGCGGACGCCGCCGCCCACGAGAAGGCTTCCCGTGACAAGGCCCAATCTGACATGGACCTCCAGCGGTTCAGCGAGGATGCCTGGATCGAGCGGGAGCGCATCGAGCAGCGTGAAGTTTGTGTTGCTGTTGAGGCCGCTGGCCATGCACATTCTGGGCAAACTAATGGAGTACATGCTGGGGCTGGTATTGGTGCTCACAGGCCACCATTTTTGCCTTAGGTTCTGGCTTTCTTCCAAATCTTCCTTGGCCACCCACGTCTACCCCCGATTCGTGAAAGTGTGCTTTCCTCAGATGGACAGTGGCGAGCCCCGGGGCATCTGACTGATGCTGGGGGTTTGGCGATCTTGCCGAATGGCGGACTCTACGTGATGCAACCCATGAGAGGCCAACACCCCCAACATGCAGGCTCTTGTCAGATGTGGGGTAAAGTCGATCCAGCTCACTCGACTGGCCAGGGGCTACATTTGCACTCCGCGAGTCCGTAGCTCTCGGCCTCGGTGTCCATGACATCGATCCCAAGGTGCGGAATAGGGGTTTGGTGTCCCGAGCCCCAATCACGTGAGCATGATTGTCGACTGGTAAGGGCAATGGCCGATCCAGATGAACAGACAGGCGGAGGGCTACATTGGAACTCCTGGAGTCCGTATCTTTCTGCTTTTGCGCCTCGCAAGCCGATCCCTCGTGTCGGAAACAAGTTTTCGGGGCACTATTGGGGAGATTCTGTTCAATGCAACTGCCCACTTCGTTCGCCATTAGTCGCTCTCCGCCCATGCGCGGGGGCGCCGCAAATGCCGCCGAAGACGATGAGGCCCCTGTCCGGGGAGGGGGTTCGAAAATTCCGCTCCCCAGTGGGGGGGGGGTGTTGTTAGCCCCTGTCCCAGCCGCGTTGCCGATCGTCGGCCTGTCGATGAGAGCGCGCCATGCGGGGGGTCTGGTGCTCCCGTCGAATCGCGGACTGTGCGCGATGCAACTCATGAGGCCCCCCCCCAACAAAAAAATGCAATGCTTGGATTCCTGGGGGCTCGACTTAGCCCTCGCTGACGGCATTGTCAGGCCCTCCATGCCCCCGACGACGCTGCGACGGCGACTTGTGGTCGATCCATTCGAATCGACAAACTGATGGCTAACTGTAAATTTGAAGTCCGTAGCCCTAGGCCTTTGTGCATGCGACGTGGCAGTCGCCGCCCCGGCGGCGACGACTTCTTCGCATTGGTCCCGCCGCAGCCCAATGGGGCAGGCCAGTTCCAGGCCCCCCTCTTTTTCCTGCTCATGTCGGCCAAGGTTAAGTCGGGCCTGTCCCTTTGCTGGGGGCAGATCTAAAAATCGTCAAACCAAATCAGGGCGCGTTCTTTTTTGTTGGTTGTTGTCGTTGGTATTTAGTATTTAGTATTATTAGTATGAATCCTAAAGGTGCGTCACCACCTACAAAACCACCCCAACCAACCCGCCAGGCCTCAATTTGCCCCCCATGTCCAGTGGGGCTAGGGTAGGGGGGAAACATCGAAAAACACGCATGAAGGAACCATGCCCCCCCAACCCATTGGGTGTATTCAGGTGGAAAGCGCGTGTTCTACCGCTGCTGGCGGAAAGCCGGGGGGGGGTCACTACCGGTTCGAACCCCTCCCCCCCCCCCCCCTCCGGAAAACCGGGGGGGGTCACTACCGGTTCGAACCCCTCCCCCCCTCCCAGTTCCTCGTGAAAAGGGGGGGGGTCACTACCGGTTCGAACCCCCCCCCCCCGCGAAAACCGGGGGGGTTACTACCGGTTCGAACCCCCCCCCCCCTCGAAAACCGAGTGGGGGTGCGGACAGTGGTGGGGACGGTGTTGGTGGGGACAGTGGTGAGGGGACAGCGGGACAGTGGTGGGGACAGTGGGGGGACAGTGGGACAGTGGTGGGGACGGTAGTGGTGGGGACAGTGGTGGGGACAATGGTGGAAACAGGGGGGACAGTGGACAGTGGTGGGAACGGTGGTGGTGGGGACAGTGGTGTGGGGACAGTGGGAATGAGGTGGAAACACTGGGACAGTGGAGGGTACAATGGTGGTGGGGACACTGGTAAAGGCGGTGGCGAGGACGGCGGTGGGACAATGGGACAGAGGTACAGTGGGGACAGTGGCGGGGACAGTGGGGACAGTGGTGGAAACAGTGGGACAGCTCAGTGGGACAGCGGAGGAGTCAGTGGGACAGTGGGGACAGTGGGGATAGGCAGTGGTTGGGTCCGTGGAGACAGTGGGGAGAGTGGAACCGTGGTGGGAACAGTTGTGGGAACAGTGGGGACAGTGCGACAGTGGTGGGGGCACTGGTGGGGACACTAGGGACGGTGGTGGAACCAGCCGGGGCAGTGGTGGTGAGGACAGTGGTGCTGGGAACAACAGTGGGGGATGTCATGCGAGCGGTGGTAGGGACCGGGAGTCGTTTGCTGGCGGTGCGTGGGGGGGGGGTCGAACCGGTAGTGACCCCCCTCCGGTTTTCGAGGGGGGGGGGGTTCCAACCCCTAGTGACCCCCTTCCGGTTTTCCGGATCCGGAGGGGGGGGGGGGGGGGGGGGGTTTTTCGAACCGGTAGTGACCCCCCGGTCGAGGGGGAGGGGGGGGGGGGGAGGGGTTAGGGGAGGAGGGGGGTTTGCGGATGGAGGGGGGGGGGGGAGGGGTTTCCAGCAGTGGGGGGGGGGATTTTTCGGAGGGGGGGGGGGGGAGACCCCCGGGTTCCGGAGGAAAACGTTGGCAATTTTCCACAGTAAAGCGGCGGTGGATCACGCTCTCTCTCAGGTTGGGTTGGGGTGGTCTGGTAGGTAGTCAGGAGGGACAAGAGGGCCCCCCTCGTCGCCATGTGGCTGGACGCAGCTCGAAAGACGGGGCAGGATGGACCCATGGAGGGGTCCAGAGACCGACTGGAGCGAACTTGCTTTCAGACCACCGTTCTTGGCGGATTCCATCTGGGCTTCCCCAGCTTCGGGGTCAGCAAAGAGGGGGGTGATGACTAGGGGGGGGGTGGATATCATGGCGTGGGCCATGATGTTTCCCCAGATTTCATGGCGCCTCTTCTTGTTTCATTACGTCCCCAGCCCCCCCCTTTGGCCGCGCACATGCCGCCGGTCATGATTTGCACCCCCCCCTCTTGGACGCCCCCCTCTTGGCCGCCCCCGACAGCTCAGACCCCTTGGCCGCCTCCACTGTCCACGTCGTCCCGCATCCGCGGGGTCGCGGCCAGGAGGTCCGGCCGCGAGGGCGTGGATTGGGACAGGTGCCCCGTCCCTGCGGGGAGGGGGATCCAGGCCATGTGTAACTGTTCACTTCGGCGTCTCGGAGCATTGCGGCTCAGGCTTCTGTAGTGCAATCCGCATACACATACACGTTGTATATCGCACACGCAGGCAATCTCCTCTTGTGCCGTTCCGTCGGATGGCAGTCAAGAAGGCATGCTTGACCTTGCGCTGGGTTGTGCCGCTTCTCTGCAGCCTACCCACCGCGACTTCCATCAGCGCGGGAGTGAACATCAGCACCCATGAGACTCTCCGCACGGAGGCTGAGCGATCGGCGTGCGCGGCATACGCTGGGGAGTACCAGGTGTGGTATCAGGGTGCGCAGCGCTCTACGAACATGTTCATTTATTGCGACTGCACCGTGACGCAGCCTGGAATTTTCACTGATAGCCTTCGTTTCACTAGTGTGTCGTCCCAGTGCCCCCTCCTCCCCTCGTCTCAGTTCTACATCATGAACTCGCACGCGCCTGGCAAGTACGAGTGTTTGTTTCAGAGTGGCACTATGATCGCAGGCTATCATTACACCAGTTGGAACGCATACTGGGGCACTGTCGAGTACCGGCTGATACGCCGCGACTCCTCTTGTAACCCTTTCGGTCGACTGCACAGGTCGCACTTACAACAACCAGGTGGCATACTGCCAGTCGCAGGGATTGTCCATCGCCAGTATCCACAACAATGCCGACAACAACGCGGTCTTGAGCTTGCTTCAATCTCAGGGATGCAGCGCGTACATCGGCGCTGAGTCCAACGGAGCCGGCACCTGGTCGTGGAGAGACGGCACACCATGGGATTACGTCAGTCCGCTGAACGACGGGCTCACTGGTTACAGCGAGACAAAGATTGCGTACCTTTCTGACGGTTGGTGGCACGATTGGCAAACGGGGAATTCTATTCACGGTGTGGTGTGCCAGGGCGTAGCGTCAACGCCCAGCCCGACGCCCTACCCGACGCCTTACCCGACGCCATACCCGACACCCTACCCCACGCCCTACCCGACGCCTTACCCGACGCCCTACCCGACGCCGAAGCCGACGCCGAAGCCGACGCCGAACCCGACGCCGAACCCGACGCCGAGCCCGACGCCGAACCCGACGCCGTACCCGACGCCGTACCCGACGCCGTACCCGACGCCGTACCCGACGCCCTTCCCGACTTCTTTCCCGACGGCCTTCCCGACGGCCTTCCCGACGCCCTTCCCGACGGCCTTCCCGACGGCCTTCCCGACGGCCTTCCCGACGGCCTTCCCGACGTCCTTCCCGACGCCTTTCCCCACGCTTTTCCCCACGGCATACCCGACGGCCTTCCCGACGCCCAGCCCGACTCCTAGCCCGACGTATCCTCCTGGTTGGCCGACTCCACATCCGACGTTTCCGCCTGCAGCTCCCATGGCGGGCGGAGCTAGCGCCGGCGTGGCTGCCACTGGCGACCCCCACCTTCAAAACCTTCATGGTGAGCGGTTCGACTTGATGAAGGCGGGGAAACACGTTTTGATAAGCATCCCTCGTGGAATGGGCGCTGAAGACGCATTGCTTCGTGTGCAGGCCGATGCGCGCCGGTTGGGTGACCACTGTGCGGAAATGTACTTCCAAGAAGTGAACATCACAGGATTTTGGGCAGAGGCCAAACAAGTGGGAGGGTATCATCACCGCGCATTTCAAAGTCCAGTCGAGATTCCGCAGTGGGTTGCGCTTGGTCCGGCTCAGCTGAAAGTCGTTCATGGACGTACTGACGGTGGCCATTTGTATCTAAATGTCTACGCGAAGCATTTGGGACGAGCAGGGTTTGCCGTTGGAGGTCTGCTGGGGGAGGACGACCACGAAGACGTAATGCATTCCCCAGCGGCATGTGCGGAGCGTGTGTCTCTTTCGCGCGTCCAGTCGGAAGCGCACGGCCCTGACCCCACTAGGGCCTTAGATGGTGTAGCGACCTTCGCCTGACGGGGCCGTAGCTACCGCGCTGATGTTTCTGTTATTGGGCCTCCTAAAACAAGTTTTCTGGTACCAGATCATGGCTCTACGGCCCTCGGAGCCGAACGACTTCTGCCCCGTACCGTGTTGGAGCGGGACCTGAACGGAGTCCAGACATGTGCATGGGCGCCGTTCTCGTACAGAGAAAAAGGCCGCCTCGTCATCGTGTGCCTGATGACTGACGTGGTCGTAATCGTCGCCAGTGTGTTTCTGTCCTTGACCTGAATGAAGCCAGGGACCTTTCCAGCACACCCTCAAGGGTCCTTCTTCCAGGGGTCCTTGGGTTTCCCATGAGAAGGGTCCCTCGAAGAACCCTTCATGGGGCACTGGACCCTCGAGGAGAGGCCCATGAAGGTGCGCCTCAAGGGATCTTGGGCCCTCCACGCTGAAGCAGCGCATCGAAGGTCTTTGGTCCTGGGAGGGCCTCTTGTCGGCCTCTTGGGGACCTCTTGGGGGCCACTTGCGGACCTAGGGCCGTCAATGGAACGACCTGGGTCTGCCTCTTCCTGGTGCTTGTCTCCCTCCTTGTAGTCCTCCTCGGCGTCCTCGCTTTCCACACGTTCTCCACGCGGCCCTCCTCCTCGCCCGCATCCTTGTTGCGAGCAGCTTTGTGCATGCCCACTGCAATCGCGAAATACACAGTCTCCATTCGGCGAGCTGCCGCTGTAACCTGCGCAATGTTGTCCCAAAGCCGTTCCTGTAACCTTCCATTGAAATAAGCATCTTGCGCAAACACATTGTTCGTAGGGTCGTTCGCCGTTAACCATGCACATAGAGAATCCTTATCCACAATGCCAATATGTCGCAATCCAATCCGCATATTGTCGAAAGCACCCCGGGCAGCACCAGAATCGACGAGCTCGTGGAAATTTGGGAATTCGTTAACGAACACTGTAATCAGGTTCTCCAGCCATGCGATAAAAGGCACGTCATTTGATGTCCCTGCCACTGCCCAAAATATCGGTACATTGAAGCCCGACCATTTGTGTCGTTCAATAATAGTTGGCATTGTCGTGTCGTCAAACCCAGTTGGAATACGCCCTAACACACGCAATAGACTACGAGTTGCCTGAACGGCATCAGGTGGTGGTCGGATAGGAGCCAAATCTATATCGTCAGATTCTTCTTCGTCCTCATTGTCGGCACCTGTTCCTGGCTCTTCGTTTCGGGCCCACATCCCTGTAACAATGAAGCCATCGTCATCGTCGTCGTCATTGTCAAACTCGCTCATGGCGCCCATGTCGCATGCCAGTGTTGCCTCATGTGATGGTGACTCGGGTTCACCAGGAGGGCCTTCTGGAGTGGCCATGCCTGCAACAGGGGTCGGAGGTCCGGGAGGTGGGGCGACTGGAGTTGGAATGGGTGCGCCAGACCGCGCCGCCATCGGAACATCGTCAGGGGAAGTCGCTGGGGGAGGGAGGCCAAAGGGGCCGGGGGAGGCGAGGCCGGGACAGTCAATAAGAAGTGGAGCGGGAAGCGCACCGTGGTTGGTCGTGTCGGGTCGTAGGGCGCCTGTGTTTTCCTAAGCGGGGCGGGATGGGGTTCCATCACCTTTTGCCCGTGCCTCTCTTCGGTCAAGATCGGCCGGTAAATCCGCCTCGGCGGTTTGGGGCGGTCTTGCAGGTGCGGTCAAGATCCCAAGCGATCGGAGAGCAGAGACGGCATACCCACGAGAGATCGTAACCTTCGGAGGTGGTATCGGAGGCGGGGCGGCATTCGGAGGCAGAAGGGGCGGGACAGCCGGAGGAGGGCGGGGAAGGGGGCCAACCGAGGGAATCGGAGGAGAGGGGGCGGGCGGAGGCAGAGGGGGGTCGTATTCAGCTCTGCCTGGGGAAAGTGGCTCTGCTGGAATATGTGCGGGATTATGTCCGGGCAATTTGTTTGTAGTCGGGGGTTGGGTCGGGATGGCGTGGGCGGAGGGGTGGGGATAGGGGAACACCGAAGGAGGGCGAACCGAAGTGGTTAATGGTAGTGTTGGAGTTGGAACCGTTGTCGGAGCTGGCGTCCGAAGCTGTCGCATTGTAGCCGCTGGTTCTGTCGTGGGGCTCCCGTTTGGTCGTGTTGATCCTTCATTTGTTGCCAGGGTCTCCCCAGTACCAGTGGCAGCGACGCCGAGGATACCTAAATTTCTCAAGCTTTCCACTGCTTGATCTCGCGAGATCGGCGGTCCTGGGTTGCTGGCTTTTCCGATGCGGACCCCCATTATCGGAGATAGTCGGTAAAGCATCGCATGCGATACCGGTCTTGGGTGCGAAGTCTCCCCAATACGACGGCCATGGGTCGGCGAAACCTTGTAGTGTTGAATATATGGAATTGGTTTCCGACCGGCCCAGCGGACCGGATTGTGTCGTCGAATTTCACGACGTCCTGTTTGTAGGGGTACGATCGCACCATCATAATTGTCGTCGTGAATTGATGACTTATGTATCATATGTTGGTGTCCACACCGTGCCGATACCCAATGTAGTAATGCGTGGTATTTCATGTTGTACAAATCAATAATACCGCATTCGAAGGTTAATTGAAAACATAGTATTGTTGCAACGGGGCGCCGGAATAAACGTTGTAAGTAAATGTGATTTTCACACACTACATTTTCGTACATACCAGCCGTACCAAAATACATTCCAATCTTAAGTTTGACCACAGAAGTCGTAGGAGTAGTGGCCCTTACCATTCCCACCGTCGTATTGTTGTTTGACGCCCACCATCGTGTATTTGCCGGAGTCGATGCCTCTTGGCTGATCGTAATTGAAAGGTCTGGTCTGCTCGCGTTGGCGCCGTCGTCGATGTTGTCGTAGGCGTCGGCGTTAGTGTCGGCGTGGATGCCGGCATCATCGGAGGTGGCATGCATGTTGGTGTAGGCTCCGGCCATCGTGCTGGCGTAGGCGCCTGCGTTGACATCGTCGGAATTGTTGGCGTTTGTGGTGGTATCGCCCAGGATAGTGGAAACATGCACGCCCATTATAGCCTGGAGCCGGGCGGCCAATGCCCAGTTCTGCCGTTCGGGAACCCACGTTGGAGCCAGAGTTGGAAGTAGCCGTGGCAAGCCCCGTGGTTTACTAGGTAAACTTTCCGGGGTCCGTCGACTGCCGGAGTCGGATAATGGAATTGGAACTCGATCGGATGGGGTCGGTCGGTACTCTGAATCGGATGCTGGTGTCGGAAATCGGTCGGACCTATTTCGGTTCGCGGCCGTGCCTCTATCAGACCACAGCGTCGGAATCGCACCGTCAATCCAAAGTTGGAGACCGCCGTGGGGACCCATGGTTAGCCATGCTGGGGTCCGTCGAGTGCT